TCTCTCTCTCTCTCTCTCTCTCTCTCTCTCTCTCTCTCTCTCTCTCTCTCTCTCTCTCTCTCTCTCTCTCTCTCTCTCTCTCTCTCTCTGCGTATTACCTCTTGCAGCTGCATACGCGCCCGCTTCGTTTTTTTTCCTTTTTTTCCCGAAATCGCTCGTGTTTCCAGTTCCTACTATTTTCGAAATCGCTCATGCTTCCCTTGTTTTTTCTTTTCTCCATTAAACTGATCAGTGCGCGAACGGATTTCCCGTTTTTTTTTTCTTTCTTTCTTTTTTAAAGGTCTTGATCGACCACGGATCAGATATGAAACTGACCGGACAGATACTACACCTGAGCGTGAGGGGATGGTCGAGTTTCTCTCTCTCGGGGGACTCGGGGGGTCGGCCGGAGCGCTCCCACCGGCGCATCGCGTTTCGGACCGAGCGCGCTCCCACCGGTAACGAAGGGACTAGAGCGGCCGTTGACGTCACCAACATGATGGCGTTCCGGCTATGGGGTAAGCTGTACATCTCTGCCATGTTTTCAGAGAGGCTTTCGACACATCCCGTTAGGGATGTTTAGAACAGTGTCTTACTCATCGCCCAGCCGGTCATCGAACCTCACACAGGGATTAAGGTACGATAAGAGCTATTAGCTCCCTAGTCTAGACTGAGATTATATGCCTCGTGAGCGTGCATTAGGAGCGGATTGGAGAGGCGATCAATAGTAGGATCTTCAACCTCGTCAAATTCAATATGGAGGCAGTAGTGATGACCGAAGGGGATGACACGAGGGGAACTCGTTCCTCACCTCCAGCCTCAGGGATGGAAAGAGAGGATGAGGATAGGGTGAAGGAGTTGATGAGATTGTGCTATGAAGAGGGGATCCTTCCGTCGGACATTGACCCAAGGGAAATGACGGTTGAAGGAAGGGAAGCCAGATTTAAGGTGAATCTGACACAAAAATCGCTTGGTTGAAAGAACATACTGTGACTATTATTTTTAGAGAAGGAGCCAGGTTTTTGCCCAAGAAGGTCAAGGATGATATCGTCAGAGCATATGAGGACGAAAAGATACAGGATGGTAGTTTCGAGGCAGAAGTGTTCAAGAAGGGGAGGGTGAAGATTGAAAGTCCGAACGTTGTGTCATACGTCGCCAGGAGCAGCGCGATTGCACTCTGGTTTGTTACGAAAGGTCAGGATGAAATCGTGATCAGCTCTACTACGTATAGTCTTGAATTCAAACCTTGGTTAACAAAAGCCCAATTAAGAGACCAAAGACAGGAGGATGATCGCCAGTCCTTTTGGGTCATAGCGGTCCAGGTCCCGCTTGATTCCTTCATTTATTTGGAAGCACAAGTGAGCAAGGCTATAGGTCCAGTGATCAGGAGACATCCAATTGAACCGGATAGGCAGAAACCATCGTTGATAAATGTGAAGTTTGATATCGAACCAGATGCACGACCAAATATGAAGGATAAAATTTGGGTAGTTACATCTGAGGGAGACGAACTGGAAGTGAAGCTCGCTTCGTCGGATACCCCAAGGTGCCGGCGGTGTCGAGCTTTTTTTCATACAGCGAGTGAATGCAGAAGAGGGGGAGGTTCAGGTCAACAAGCGAGCAGTCACGGGCCTCAAGGACAACAACAAGGGAGTCAGGGCAACGGTCAACAACAAAGTCAACAGCAGCAACCCTCATACTCAGGTCCTATGAGTCACCAGGGGATGTCGTCGTCGCAAGTGTTGCCAGGAGCGGCGGGTGGCCAGGCTGGTATGCCTCAAGGGCCTCTGCTACCCTCTTTTTCGAGCGCTCATCTGAATCCAATCTTCAATCCGGGATACGACCCAGCCTCTGCTCAATTTGGCTCGCAGATGCCATTGTACGGGATGCAATCTGGCCTGGGTCATGCCTTTGTCCCATGGTCCTTGCAACAAGGCGGCTTGCCCACGCCGTTTCCTGTGAAACCTCTCCGCCCCCCCCCCCACCCATTGGGATTATTCCCAGGCGGGGGTGGGCTTTCGGCCGGCATGATGGGACACGATCCGAGGTCCTCAACAGCACAGCAACAAGAAGGAGCAGCGACCTCTCTACCAACGGGGCTACCAGGAGGAACGGCAAATAAGGGGTACGAGCTGAAAATTCCTCCTACAGGTGCTGCGAGCAGCTCGGCTGGACGTCGCTCACTCACGCCAGGTAAGCAACGAAGACTAAACTCGGAGGATAGCTTTGCCTCACAAGGCAGAATTCGTGATGAGCCCTCTGATAACTCAATCCCTAATTCTGAGCCTTCTCACGGGCAGATTAGGGAAATCGTAACTCCAGGTACTAAGACCACAAGGAGAAGATCTCCGGTCGCCTCCCTTACCGAAGGGCAGTTGCAAAAGGTAGATAACCGAATTTTGCCTCTCTTTTGCACTTATGTGAGGAACTCCTATTGGGCCATTGCCTGGTCTATGCTGGATGGATCTATCGTGTTTGTCACCCTGCCTGCACCTGAGCAGCCTATGCCCTCGTCAATGGTAGCTTTGATTCGGTCGGCGATTGCGGACCGTTTCATTTTTCGGATCATTCCGGATTGCTCCATGCCCCGTATAATCACGGACAGCCCAGAAGGCGATGGCAAGAGGATTATTTTTTTTGTACCTATTTTGGACGCTCGTTTTGTGCCTGGCCAGTTGGAGAAATTGGAAAGCGAAGGGATGAAACTCATTCCCCTAGCATGGATTGCTGAACCTCGAAAATCTGAATTAAGACGCTTGAAGGTTCCTCCTCTGGCAACTGCGGAATGCTTGGCCAACGTAGACGGCAGATTGTTAAGGGAAAAGAAATTAGATTCGCCGTATGTACAGAGTATGTTGACAAACTCATGGCTCCCAGCGACGCAGGGCTCACCCCTAATCCAGACTGGTGCACGGGGCTCCCATAGCAATGGTTAAATTTAATGTCGCATCCTGGAATGTTAGGGGGTTGGGGGAAACCACAGGCAGACATAAAAAGGAGAGGCTGAAGGCGTGGATCTTCGAGAATAATGTCCAGATCACCTGCCTTCAAGAAACAAAGCTTAATGAGGAAAAGATTTCAGCGCTTGGTAACTGGTGGGATGGACCTCAGCTATGGTCCCCAGCAGTAGAAACGAGAGGGGGCACTGCTATTCTTATCCACAGGAATTTTGAGGCAGAAATTGTAGACTTTTATTCTGATTTATGGGGAAGGTGGTCTTGGGTAAAGTGCTATATGGATGGCTGTTATTGGGTAATTGTCTGTATTTATGCACCAGTTGATGCCAGTGAAAGAGCAAGCTTCTATGCTGA